AAATACCATAGGAATGGTCTATATAACAAATATTATAAGGAATAAATTATACATATATATATATAAACAATTCTATGAACACAATTATGATAAAATGAAATTTATCCTGAAATATACCTAATAATATTATATTTTCATATAAGATGTAATGATAAATATATACAAAAATATAAATTTTTTTATAATATTATGGGATATTAATATAATAAAAATAAAATAATGTATAATATCATTTACATACCATGTCCATATTTTTTATTTAATGCACATAAAAGCAAATTACAATATTAATAAAATTGAATCAATCATTATAACATAATTGTAAATCATGATCGTTGAAATTGATCAAAGCATTAATATAACAACAGGAAGGAAAAAATAGGGGCGATAAAAATGAATAATTATTTCATATGTTAAATTATAAAAACTGAACCCTTAACCTTATAAAATATAATCTGTATACATTAAAACTACTTATATTTTTACTAGAATTCTACAGTGTTATATAATAATGTATAATTTTTATCAGTTAAATTTTTGTATTTTTTTTTAAATTAGTTTCTTAATTTAAGTGCTTCATTTCTTTATTGCCAAAACCTCTTTAGCTTCATTACAATTGGTTATATGTAAGATCCATAATGAGTATACTGAAAATAAAGAAATAAACTTATATTTTTATGAATGTTGTATTCATGTGACATTTAAATTATATAACAGATTGTTTTATAATTTGTAATATCATACAATTTGTATAAAATTAATATATTATTAATCTTATATAAAATAAATGTAATTATTGATATAAGATTAATTACAATAAATGAAGCTACAAAAGTCTTGTGTGCATATCCCCCATAATAAGAATACAGAAATTTAGGAACGCTTCTGCATGCAGACCGTGTCTTCATGTTTGAGTTATATTCATATTTGAAGTTTTTCAAAATGTCATTAAAACTGTTGTTATTGCTATTTTATTTTATTAATATAAGCTCTCTATAATTTTTATAGAATTAAACACCATAGATACAATTATAAGGAGGATAATTTAAATATAAACAATTATCATAAAAATGTTTCAATTTTTTCATAATGTAATAAGTACTTACACTAATATCAACAACATGGCCATTGAATAAATCAAATACATCCTTACGAATATTTTCTTTCTCCTTTTTCATTATTTCATAACATTTTCTTTATCCTTCGAACAATAAGGATTACTTAATTTTAGATTATCTTTCAGGTTGTAGCTTAAATATTTACATGATTCTTTTATTTTATCAGATCCATTCTTTCTTATGTGTTCTAAATATTGGATAATATGTTGACAAGAAATAATAAATGTCTTATACGAATTTGTTATTTTAACAATTATTTTTGTGCATGGTTCTTTATATTTAGCATTACCCAATTCATCCTTTTTATAATATTGACCCTATTGGTACTGTTAATCCTCATTATCCTCTATAATAGGATTTTTAGCATTATTATAATCTTCCATACATTTGGGAAAAATATCTTTAATAAATCTAAAAAATAAGGTCATTATGTATGAAAAAAATTAAATCAATAAGATAATGTAAAAATTATATACATTATGTTTATATATCATAGAAACTTAAAAGTAGCAGATATAAACTATAGATTAATGACAAATAAAAACGTACATTCTTGTCTACATATATACAATTACCCATATTATCAAATGCTTGTTAATTAATATAATGCAAAATTTTTTATTTTTAAATAATTTATAAACAATTACATGATAAACGTATCAAAACCAATGCTATATAGAAATAATATAAGTTATTTATTGTAACTATTAAATTTTCACAATTTCTTGTAATAACGGTTCATATTAAGCATTTATTTATGTTAAAATATGGAGCTATTATGCACTGATGGTGTAATTCTACATATAAATAATATGAAAAAAAGTTTTTAAATGTCTTATATAACAATATTAATGCATAATCATTGCTTAAGTATTATGTTGTATATATTTCATATATACAATATATTAGTTACACGCCATAATAATTTATTTAAAATATATACCCTCATATTATCAATAATTTCTCCTGATTTATTTAATATGCATTTTTTATTTGCTTTAAATATTGGAATCAATGAATATATTTATAAAATATAAAGCATTATTATAAAGAATATATACATTAATATGAGAATTTATTTGAAATTCCATAATATTATACTATGACATGTTATTTAATATGTAAAAAAATTATTTATATGTTGCACTAGAAAAAAGGGCATTAAAACTTCCATGTTACTGTTTATAATATCTGTTATGAATTCAACATTTTAAGGATTAGCTATAATTAAATATTTAAAATATTTAAAAAAATACTTTTAATTTTAAATATATTGGAATCAGAAGAATCTAAAATATATGTAGACTTTGTAATGTCATAGATATATAGGTAAGAATTTAAAACATATTAAGGTAATGTATTACATGAAAATGAACATTGTTATAAGTTTTATGGAAGAAAATTCCATCAAATGTTTATGTAAAAATTATGAATAAGTTAATACATTATTATAGTAAAAATTACTTAATTATTGCAAAATAAATGTTTTAATTAAATTATGAAATTATATTACAAAAATATGTAAATAAACAATTTTTTCTTTTAATGAAAAGAATAATAAAATTTATATTAAACACAATAAAACATAGAGCGAAAAAAAGTGTTAATTATTATACTATTTCTTGAAATACACATATAATATTCTGAAATTGTGTCATACAATAAATATATATTTAAATGAAGCCTTATATATTAATATCATTGATTAAAAGATGCTATAAGTTTCGTTAAAATATATATGGAGTTAAAAAAGACATATAAATATTTTGACATTATTTACTATTAGTTACCTTTATGTAAAAGGATTATAATGTATTTTTTGTTATTTACAACTATTATATAAATAAAAATAAATGTAAGGATTATTCATATATATCTAAATATATTTAGTTCAATTCATATATAATAATTGTATACGAAATCATGATAGATTATAAAAATATATATATAAATAAAAAGGCTTTAAAGAATATTACGATAATATAAATAAGCCAATAATAATTATTAAATAAGGAATTAAAGATTAATAGCATAAAATATTATATTGAAATATGAACGAATCATTTACATAATTCATTATATTGATAATAAATTTAATATTATATAATATATAATGAAATCATATCAGAAGTATAATTTCCAAAAAAATTTATAATTAAATTATAAAGCAACATATCCATAGATAAAATGAAATGTTTGAACGTTTAACCCTTAAACTTGAAGTCTCAAATCCAATGTATAAAATTTATAAAATAAATGATTAACTACAAACCATGTATGCAAAGCCTGAACTCTGATAAATGATAATATGATGTGTTCATATTTCATAATAAGTTAATTTGTTACTTCATTATGAGATCAATTTTATCTAATAATCATAATTATAACAAAATTTTGAAAAATCTGCTGCATTCTTCCCTACTATTATAAATATTGTGGGAGGTAACTTAAATAATGCATGAACCCTTAAAACTAAATATATTTATAAAATAAATAGTATAAGACATATAACATGAAAATGTCACTTAAAAAAATTTAATCATTTTTTATCATTATGATAAACGTATCATAAAAAAATCAGGAAATGTTAATGCATCTTACTAAAGTTACTCTTCAATTTTATATTAAATATGAGCGTAACATTTATTATAATATATTACTTTCTCATTAATGAACTAATTATTATAATGTATAACAATATATTATTGTTTAAATCATTTAATTTTTATATTTTTAAGTTTGAATAATTATTAGAATGTAACATTTTTTGTAAAATATATTCACAACAGCATTTTAGGGAAATTATATATATGTTCAAATGAGTTAATATACGTTTTATATGAATTATCTAGTTATTATAATGATTGGCATAATATTTATTCATATTATATATATTAATTTTTAAAAATTGATATATTAACATTTTTAAATATAATTATTTTATTAATCTGCAAAATGATAAAATCCTTTTTAAGATGGTTAAAATTATAATATTTTTGAATTATTATAATGTGAAGTAAACTATTATAATAATTCTGCCTATGTTTTTTCATATATATTTTAAAACTTTATTCATATAGAAATAATTTTTATTATACTATGGTTATTTTCTTATTTTTAGGATAAGTCTATATATTTATTATTCAGCAAATGTGCAGAAATTATAGATGGCGTAAAACGAAGATAATCAATTATTAATTACCAAGATAAGTGTAATAATATTGATGGTAATTATTCTGATATTTTTAACGCCAATATTAAAGAAATATGCTGTAAATCTTTGGCATATTTAAAAGAAGCATATGGAGAACATCATGAATCATTATACAAAATTGGTTTTAAATACTTGTATTATTGGCTATATAAGCATAAATTTAAAAGTGACAAAGTAAGTTCAGATTTTAAAGTCATTTATAATGAAATAATCAAGATATTTAATGAAAATTATCGGGGGTTATCATACTTAACGCATTATCAGAGTGTTACTGATGATGAATTTGAAGAACTCAAAAATTTATATGATATGCATAACAGC